TAAAATCCTGGCAGAGGTTTAAAACTTCTCACTCAGCTAGAAAATTGCTTTATGCGTCCCTGATGGGTGGATCTTTCGTTTAAAAATTCATGTAATGGAAAGTGAGGAGAAATCTCCAAAATAGGAACGCAGACAGCAATAAAAAGTTTTTTCAATATACTTCCCCATGCAGAAATAAAAAAAATGCATAAAACAAAAGTACACAGAATCCCGGCCAGGTCACTATCTGCAAAGAGTTTGCATGTTCTCCCTGTGCTTGCGTGGGTTTCTTCCGGGTACTCCGGTTTTCTTCCCACACTCCATTACTCTGCTGAAAAGAGTTATAATATAGTTAAGTGGGGATGCCTAGTGATAAGGTGGGCCTTGAAGTCCATGAGGTACTACCTCTTGGGAAGGAAATTCCACATGGTTCTGTTTCTTCACCACTCAATTGGATGCCTGAGTAACAGAATGTTTTTTTGGTGTTACATAACTTCTCCTTTAAGGTGTGGCACAGAGCCAGGAAACTTCACAGTAATGCAAACACCCTCTCCAGGACCCACCATCTACTAGGGCATTGGTTCTCAGCTGCCGAGCCTCTGCCATGCTGCAGCCTCCTCTCTGAACTGAGAGCTACTACGGTCACATTCCCACTACATTGACACCAAGGACTGAACAACTAATGAATGTATTGGAAGCAGAGAGAGTGCCTGTACTATAACCCTAAAATTCACTTCTAAATCCCCGCTCATATCACCTTTCCAATCCAATAAAAAAAAGACAGAGAGGCCACTTGCAGTACGTATAATAGAATCAAGAGCTGGAGTCAGATGTTGGATGCAACTAGGTAATGCAGAATTGTTTCTGCAAGGGCAGAAGTCGAGTATAGGAGATATGACAATACCAGAGATTGGAGAATGGGAAAAGTCAACAATAGCCAGTGTTTTGTGAAGATATTAGAATATACAGATTACTCTCTGCTAATTGTTATTATAGAACTGTGCTGTATATTGCTGGTAAATGTATTGAATGCAGCTTGACATGACAATAGCTGTTCATTGAATGATCATAGACCAGGGTTCTTATTCAATAAACAGTGCAAGGAATAAAGGGCAGGTACTCACAGCAGGCAATCAGAGTTCACCTTACAGAAGTTAGATCAGTATATAATGAATTGATTGCTTGCTATGCCCCTTTAAAAAATTATTTTAAAAAACCCAAAACAAAAAACCACATAGAAGGCAATTAGGAATCATCGCTACTGCTGCAAGATAAGACAACAGACAGGTTGGAGTGTCACTATCCAGTAATAGTGACTATCCAATTGACACCAATGATTTGGAGAGCTATTCTTTCCTTGTGGCCACTCTTCCACCAACACCAATGACTTGGGAGGATATTCTTTTCTTGGCACTACTTTCTCACTGACACTAAAGAATTGAGGGGCTATTTTTCCCGGCGGGCATTGTGTCTATTATAATTACAGTAACTAATTTTTTCAACTGATTACTCAATTTTTACATTTTAAATACATATTTTGCATTCAGATAATTTTTATTTTAGAAGAAACTTTTATTTTACTGTTGGGGCATGAAAGGTTTTGCAAAAATAAACTGGGCCCTGGTTTCAGCAAGGATGAGAACCACTGTCCTGGAGAAAGTGGTCAAGTTGATGGGTTAAAACTAGGGATGTCCCGATACCGATGCTAGCATCGGAATCGGGCCCGATATAATGTATATGTAGTACATATATACAGCACATATCTCCACTACGCTCCAGCAATAGAGTTACAATTCTGCCCTGCTAACACGAATAGGTTAAATCATGATCCATAGTACAGAACATGTAGTTGTACTATGGATCATTTAAAGTCACCTGTCCATTTAAGAAAAAGTATAGGTAATTGGTAGGGGGAGGTATTGTACTTGGGCCTGAAAAAGTGGCATCGGGACATCCCTAGTTAAAACAGAGGGTATGTGACAGAATTTGGGCTAAAATGGCATGTAAGGAGGTGGAAGGGTGGTATTAATCACCCAGAATATTTGGGTAATTTGGTAGGTTCACAGGCTGGCTGCCCTGGGTACACAAGTCCACCTGACAGAATACCTGGCTCATTATGAAAGAGCTGGGAAGCCTCACAGGAAGAGGCTGTGCTATGGATTTTGAAACTCTGTGAACGGTGAACAGATGATTTTCTGTGTTAAAGAACTTGGAGGATTCACCTATGAGTTGTTGATTCACCTGTGAGTTGTTGAGGCAAGGCAGAAGCCCACTGTCTGGACTCTAATGCATCTGCTGAAGTGAAGCAACTTTTACATTAATCTGGTGGATGAAATTAAACATGGGACCAATAATCCCTCGAAGAGACTGTGCTGTAAGGTGCCTTCCCAGCATCTGAGAGCATTCCATGTCACAGTTGTCGCTATGTAAAATGATTAGGTACATAAACATACATTTGTGTCCTGACTTCACCCATGGCTCTCACAGCTGTTATCATAACCTGGGCTGTGTAGGTCTGCTGTTGAATCGACGATGGAAAACGTTGACAACGTTTTCCATCGTCGATTTTAATCGACTTAATCGAATAACTGTTGCAGCTCTACCTAAATCATCTATCCCTTTAAGAATTATAAGAAATTACTGTTAAGTAGTCCATTACTGTAGTATAATTTTTGACTGGCTCAGAAAAACATTCAGAATCAGACAGGATGTGTTCCTTACACTGTTGCTTTTCTTCCCAAAAGTCCCATTTTAAATGTAAAACACAGACAAAAGACATTGTGTCACGGCGATCCTGTAATCTAGTGTGGAAGTAAACAGGACAAAAGGGATACTGCAGACAAAGCTGGCACTGGCCCAGTGCATGTAGACACTGACACATATCATGTTGGCAGAGAGATGCAAGTATCAGGTCATTTTACATTTGGCAGATGTAATGCAGCCGCATGCAGAGTGCTAAAACACTTGGCAGGGAAGCAGAAATGCACGGAAGGATGAAAGAAAAAACACAAGCAAAGACAATACGTACAAGAACAGAGAATAATTCCATATGGATAAAGTAACTGTGATTATGCCAAGAAGCCAAGGTCAGTATCTCCTTAAAGCTGCAGGAGTTCAGTCTGTAAAGATTGGAACACTTTCATAAACGTTTAAGGCTCCAGTGTCAAAAACTAAAGACCTGTAGCAATTTAGAGCCTTATAAAAGCTGTCATAAATGAGGGTTTAATTACCACTCTACATCTCTTCATGAACAGCTTAGGAGAAAAAAGAACTGCAATTTAACCTGTAAGAATAACATTAGTAATAAAACTACCAAAAACGAGAAGAAAGACCTACAAAAACAATATTAAAAGAGAACTATCGTCAAACTTTTTTTCGCCATAGTTCTCTTTAAGTGTCACAGGAGGACATTTATGAATGTCCTTCTGTGACCCAAAACTCAGCATATAGTTATATAGTTAGTATGGTTGAAAAAAGATACAAGTCTGTCAAGTTCAACCTATTGCCCGCTAAATGCAGACAGCGCAGAGCCACGCTGCAGCCAGGAAATAACCTGACAATATTGTTGGGATTCACCCTGCTACCTGATTGACCGCTGGCTCAGCCTCTCTCTAGAGCCAGGTGGGCCCGCCCCTTGCTCCATCTGTCCCTCCAGTCAGCGCTGGAGGAATGGAGAGGTGAGGGGGGAAACCCTGTGGGGAGCGGTGACCGCTCTCTGCAGGGAGAAGATCGTGAACTGACTGATCAGCAAGCGGTATATGATCACCGAGTTCTTGATCTATAGAGCTGCGGTCCAACAGCTGCAGTGTCACACATCGGCTCTAACTATTGGGATGAGTGTATTTCACTCAATCCAGATTACTCCTTTAAAGTCAGAATATATTTCTTTGAAATGCATAGATATATCCACTTTATATACTTAACAAGTGTAAATGCAGTTCCTGGGACAAGACATAGTTTACCATGAGGGCATTATTGACAGAGATATGATACATGTGAAGTTGATCTTCCCATGCAATTTTTCACTAGCACTGCAGATACCAACACAGCACTGTGACTCTATTATAGAATCACTGCAGGAATCACATATTAACACTAGCTACATGAAAAGCTGCATTAAGTTTCAGTTCACGTGTGAAAATCTTTCCATTTTGTGTCTTGAAAGATCCCCAAAGACTCCAGATGCCATTATTTAATACCATCTAATTTAGGTATAACCTGGACAGTTTACATATAATGATAGTGCACTGCCACAAACACATTTAGTGTTCACGCATTTGGCCAAATCCTAAAGATCCAAAACTTCGACAGTTAAATTCCACATCTTATGGGAAGTGACTGAATAAGTAGTCACATGATGGGTTATCACACTAGCCAGTGTGCCACGCCATCTTCTCTATAGGTATGACAATTGGCATATTTGACCTGCCTACGTATGGGCAACTTAATGGCCAGATTTAATTTTTTGTGGTCTGTTGTGGTGTAAATGCGCTTTTTGCAAACGTTCCAACACAAGGCAACTGACCTCCAAAAAACACACCACAACATATGAATTGTATGCATTGAGTGATGCAAGGTGTAGCCTGCTACTAATTGTGCATTGGGGTGCTATTCTAAATGAATGGCACCTCAAGGCACCGCACAAAGCGCTGTGTGTTACTGTAGCAGTAGCATGCAGTAAACAGCACATTTTATTGTGCTCCACTGATCCACATCAGGTCTCCCTTGATAGTAAAGATATATGCTTGGTACTACAGTTTGTAGCCCATGGATGCTTCGAAGATCCAAAAGCAGATGCACATGTACAGGTAAAACAGATTTTATGGCAACTTGCATACCTTAGCAAATGAGTAAAGAAACCAAATTATAAAAAAGGGAAGAACATTGTGAAACACATCTTTAAAAAGAGACCACATGCATGGGTGAGCATATTGACATGACATCCTTAGGAATGTTCTGCCATTCAAGCACAAAAAAATATGTAGGATTAGAGAATTCGATAAATGATTGCCATTCCCCACCTGTGCTGTCTGAGCATGTTCCAGCATCTCCTCAAATTCCTCATATTCCTCATCATCAGGTTCCGCTCCTGACAGACGGGCAGCCCTAGCCATGAAGTATGGTGGCAGCTCTCCAATGGCAGTGCCAGCACCCTGGAGTGATGGTGAGAAGCCAAAATGAAATATACCATAAACCATAATTACAATAGTTTCACGAACATAATGATGAGACATGCATCTTTCTACATCAACCCAAAATGAACTTGAACACTTAAATATACACACACACACATACTAAGAGTAATAGGCCTGTGAAAGATGGTCCTATAATGATACAAGAAAAAGGAGTCTACAGCAAAAAAAACGTCATAAGATTGAAAACTTTCATTATTATCTTTTTTTTTTAAAGTTAGCATTAGTAGATACCGTGAATAAAATAATAGTATAAAAATAGTACAAAAATAATAGCATAAATAATGGTACAAATAGCAAAATACTGGAGGTAAGGTAGTTCAAACCTATCAGAAAGGAAGAGCAGTAAATCTCTTCTACCAATATATTCCTACAGACACAAAACTCAATTTTCCCAAACAAAGAATTAAGGTATATCTAATGCCAAATTGATTTGTAGTAGAGGGAATAGTTCAAACCCCTTAGTAGAAAAGTCACTCGCACTCCATTTCAGTCAAAGTTCTTTATTGACAAAAGAATTGTCACATCAAATAGCGACATTTCGAAACCGTATAGTTTCCTTCTGCAGGCAAACAAAGTCACACTTTGTTTGCCGGAAGACGGGACCTATATGGTTACGAAACATTGCTATACGATGTGACAATTCTTTTGTCAATAAAGAACATGGACTAATATTCTCATTGTAGTGCAAGTGACTTTTCTACTACACCATACTGATCTGCAGAGGCATCTGCTGTCATCTCAGCACCCACCCATGATCTTGGGTTATATCCAGTCAGGAGTGCGATGGGATCTGGTTGAACTAGTTCAAACCCCTGTCTGTCTTTCTTTGCCAACTGTATTCCAGAATCACTGCCACATTCTGTCCAACAGACACAACACGAAAGAAGAAGACACTTGTCTCTGGAACAACATCCCTGATAACAATAGTCACAAGGATAAAGAAAGGCTAAATCTCCCCAATGGAGGCACAGACAACAATAAATACCTGACATGGTGGCTAGCCCTTCCCTACTGTATCCCAAACTAAGAAAAAAGAATTGGCTTTGCATACACTTTAACTTTCTAAGTAAATACTCTAAATGACCACTGTTTATATCAAACGTAACCACTGAAGTATTAGTTTTCATTTTCTACTATTGGCTGGAAAAAAAAAATGCTGGAATCTGATATATTCTAAGAAACATCTATACTTTTTCTATTTAGAGGAGCTGTACTGACTGTGAAAAATGGAAAGAAAAAATTATTCGATTATCCAAATTTGTTTCCTGGAAATATCACAAGAAAGACTGCATATCCTACATTATGCAACTTCCTCTGCCACCCCATCCACTAATAAGAAAACAATGTGATTTAGAAGGAGAATTATAGGGAGAGTGGAATGCACTCATCCCCTTAGTCAGAGCTGATTTGTGACACTGCAGCTGTTGCACGTTGGCTCTATTGATCGAGAACGGAGTTATCACAAACCGCTGATTGCTCAGTTCATGATTTTCTCTGTGCAGAGAGTGGTGACTGTAATTCACCGATCTCCGCAGAGATTCCCTCCTCTCTTATCCTCCAGTTCTCATTAGAGGGACAGAGAGGGGAGGGGGCGGGCACAGCTGGCTTAAGGGATAAGCAGAGTCGGCTGCCAATTAGGCAGCGGGGTGGGCCCCAACAATATCTTCGGGATCTTTCCCGGCTGCAGTGCAGCTCTGCGCTGTCAGCATATAGGGGGCAATAGCTTGTTATATGCCGAGTGTTGGGTCACAGGAGGACATTAGTAAATGACCTCCTGTGACCCAAAAGAGAACGAATGCCAAAAAAGGTTTTGCCATAGTTCTCTTTTAAAAGAGGCAAATATTTGATGGTAGCATGAAGAAAAAATACAGGCCAGGCCAATATGGCAGGGAAAAGTGCAACAAGCAACCAGAACTCAATTTTTTCAGTGCAAAACTTTGAAAGAAAATATCTCCAATTGGTGTGACTATTGCACACTGCCCCAATACGGGGAATTTCCAAGCAGGATATAAGTACCCTATCTGGCCACAGTTTCTTTGGATAGTAACATGGAGGGATTTCCAACCACTGTCGTGCCATTATTTACATGACTTTGCAAAAAAATGCAAAAGAGAAGTCCCTGTGCAAAAAAAAAAAAAAACCCATTAAAAGTGTAAAAAAAAAAAAAAAAAAAAGATTTCACAATATTGTAACTTCATATTGTTTTCCTAAACAGAGATGTCGTGTACAGAGGGGGGAGTTTTAGTTTTCCTGGCATACTCTTTCAAACGGAACTTGGAGGAAAATCAATCTCAATCCTTGCAATGGGGCTACCCCCGCACTGCAAGAGTTAAGTGCTTGTTTTGGTCTAGGGAGGAATTTAAAGATATACTTACTTGATCTTCAGAGCCGGCCAGCATTCCCTCCAGCCTGTCTCCTTCTCCACTGCAGCAATGATATGTCCCTCAGTCTCCTCATGTCCTGTACACGGTGTATAAGATGTGATGACCGGTCTAAAAGCGAGACGGCTCCAAGATCAGGCGAGTATAACTTTTTTATTTTCCTCTCTAGACCAAAGCGAGTTCTTAACCCTTGCAGTGTGGGGTTAGCCCCACTGCAAGGGTTAGTAAAAAGATTTGCCTGGAGGCCTTCTTTAAATATAAGGTGTGTGGTAATAGTGGTACTGCTTTTTTTATGTTTAATACACTTACCCACATGCAGGCCTCTAGCCTGACTTTAGATATAATGGTCCACAATGAAATGGCACCTTCTACAGATTCTTCATCTGGACATATAATTTCATCTGGGTATGGAGGTTCAGGAAAGTTGACCGAGTTACATTCGTAAGCAGCAAGTGTCACAGAAGCTATGTGTGGACCCTGATAAAAACAGAAAAAATATAAATTAGAATTTTAGAATTCTTGTATACTTTGTAAATTTTGGATATGTTCTACAAAACATGATCATGTCTACATAAACATTGCTTTAAACTAAACATTTCAATTTGCCAAGTATGTAAACATAGTGGTACCTACATAATCTGCTCCATCAGCTGTTTCAGAGGCACTCCTTTCCCCGAAATATGCAGCCTAAGCAGACTAAAAGGTCTTTTACTCATAAGCAAATTCAGACTCTGTGAAAAGTCAGTAGCAAAGCTCTGATCTTCAACTGTAGCCACTATCCCTGGGAACCAATGTTTGCAGGAAGCAGTAACACATGACAGTCACATGACGGACTGAAGTGTCTTTAAAATACGGACACTTGGCTTCACCTTCTCAATGCTGTGTTATAAGCAAGATGGCGACACCCAAAGTAATAAAGCTTTAAAAATTCACAGATTAAGCACTTATAATACTTTATAAGTTGAATAGTTGATAAATGCTTACCGTTTCCGCAAACACTGGCAAAAGGAAATAATTGCTTTAAAGAAGACTTTTCAATGGTCTCTAATCTTAGCTGTTCAGAGCTTTAAAATGTAATCTAATAAAAACTTAAGTCTCAGTTTCTTAAGCATTGGGGGTGGCAAATATGTACATTTGCTTATCAAAACCAGATATCCAGAATTATTTTGTGTGTGTGTTCTTGCCCTCCTGTGCTATTACCAGGTGTCAGTCCCAACCATTGACAACTGAGGACAACCGGCGAACACAATCATTCTGAATTCACAATTCAATGTGTCCGGCTACTGGAGCCATGACAACCCTATAAACATTTAGTGTGTTTTTCCCCCCCAACGGAAATTCTTTGTTGTTCTGACATTACATTGGGATTAGGTCAGGTTACTAGTTTACATGAAAAAAGAAGCGTTGAGTGGAGTTGTTCTTTAAGAAGCAGTGTCCATGTACTCTACATTTCTGATATCATTAACACAATTTTAAAAGATTGTATTACACAGAATGCACAAACATTCCACAATTAAACTACCAATATATCAGTTCACCATGGACAGACAACACATTTAAAAAAGGCACATGCAAAAAGAAGTGGACATTTTTTAAACTGTAATTTCTTCTAATGAGGCAGTGAAAATCAAATTAGCAATCAAAACTAGAAGCCAACAGCCACAGTTAAAGCCAAAGTGATTGTTCATTTACTTACATCTAAAAAAAATTCTGCAATTGTTAGTTGAGAGCAATATATTTTTAGGTATATTGGCTAATTGATTCCTGGGATTTATCCAGCACTGCCTTATATGGAAAAACTTTACTAAACTATTTTCATGTAATCTAGAAATAGAACATTACTTTAAATACACTTTTTGAAAAACAAATACCCTTTATGTGAAAAAAAACATTGTTCTTGTGGTCTCTATGCCTCTAAATCATCAGGCTCAGAAGTAAAGAAAAACAGAAAGATTACCATTGGTCAGTTAAATAAGGCTGTAGTGCTTTCAGGCTATACAGTACCCAATGAGGGACAAAGGGCACAGAGCGAGTATTGGTGTGGGGGTCTGGTTATACAGGTTATATTTTTAGGTCTACATAAAAAATAAAAAAAATCATAAATAAAAGCCTTAAAAAATAAATAAAACCTGTGGTTGGCAACTCCTCTGTATATGTACTGAGAAGATCTGACCCAGGGGGAAAAAAACAGAAAAAGGTTTAATACTAATAATACAACAGGCTTTGGCCCTATTTTTCTCCACTCAGTGGGAGGGTACAAGAGATTTTTTCAGTTTGTCGGGTACTAGATTGCACATAACCTGGCATTCCATTGTGAACAGAATAAAATAAAAATAATGGTTATATTTACTGATTATTAAAAAGCCCTTATTTAAAAAGAATATCCTACTTTTATATTGGAAGCTTTGTCCAGACAATCAACGTCATCACAATTGAATACATCGGAGTGGCATGATACTGTCTCGAGTATAATAACGGTTGTAAATGTGGCAATTAATTTAAAATTAAATACATACAAAAAAACTGAAAATGATGCTTCTATGCAGTCATGGAATTGATTCTAATAATAATGCATGGTAATACAGGACTAAATCTATAGTAAATGAAACGTTAGAGAAATAAGCAAAATAATTGTTTTGTAAAGTACATCTTTTGTTTAAACCTAATGATCTTCCATTGCAGACAGTCCTCCCCCAATACACAGTCTCCTACACAGTCGAATGGATCACAAGCTCAAAAGGTTTTAAAATACATAACAAAGCAGAAGTGCTGCCAACACTTTGAAATACATTTCTGGTGAGTCAGTGCTTTTAAACAGTACTAAGACACAGCAAGAGACACTACATCCACCCATTCAAGCCAATGGGGAAATCTCCCTAAATAATTTGCACAACAGCAGACTGGACGCTAAAGCTTTGGACGCTGGATTTCTCACATTGTGGCAACAGCACAACAAAAGGTAAATATATATTTACATATTTATGTTTCCTAAACTTTCCCATCCAAAACAATTAGGCTGAGGCCTCTTTTTCATGGCTTAGTGGTTAGCACTTCTGCCTTGCAACACTTGGGTCCCCGATTCGTATCCTGGTCTATCTGCAAGGAGTTTGCATGTTCTTATTGCATAGGTTACCTCAGGTACTTCGGTTTCCTCCCACACTCCAATTATATACACACACACATACATATATATATATATACACACACATTAGACTGTAAGCTCCTTGAGGGCAGGAACTGATGTGACTGTGCAGTATGTAAAAATTGTCAGCGTTATATAACTACCTGTGATAATAATATGAGGAACATTTGACAAAATCGATAACAAAATAAAAAAAATGACAAGTAAATTCCTGGCCCCTGGACCATCACTTGGGTGGCGGCCATTGCACCCAACATATTACACCCGACGTCTTATTTTTCCATCTTTTGTATGGTTGTCAACAATGTCCTCTCTGTCTCTCAAACATTTTTCTGTGGATCACAACTATTCGGTAACAATTTAAAGAACTTAATAAATACACAGAATGCCAGTATAAAATTAGAAGCATTTGTTTTTACTGCATATAACCCGGTAAGTTGTTCATCTCCTTTCTCTGCAGTAAAGAAGAAGATACTAAAACCAGGTACCCCACACCATTTCATAATTTATGTCTTTACCCACTCCTTTCTAACTTGCATTAACTAAATAGACTGACAGCTCAACAACACATTTCTTAAAATGGGGGTTGCCAAAGTTTTACACAGTTTAGTGAGCAGACCCCAAAGCATTTATTCACAATAGGAGATAAAGCATTTCTGAAGTTCTGCTGCGGTTATATTAAACGGTCACTTTACACACAAAGCTTAATGGAGCTCTTTAAAATAACTTCCCTGCTTAACCAGATCCCCCCCAGTCAAACTCAGATCCTATACTGTAGCGCACTAATAAAATGCACATAGTATATTCTTCTACTGCAGTTTTACAGTTGTAAAAACTTTTGTGAGAATTCATAGAAAAGTGAGAACACACTGGCCTACAGCTTTCTTTAGATTGAAGTCAATACATTTTTAATTGTCCTCTTAATAATAATTTGTACAAATGAGCTGTCATTGGTCACTTTTCAAGCACACTGACTTAATGAAAACACAATTAAAGTATAATTTTATATCTACTGTTTGCTAAAGTAGCAAGCAGTAGGTATATGCAAAAAGCGTTTAAAAAAACAACAAAAAAATGCTTTAAACTTACAACTTGTCTTCCCTACGCGCTCCTGTCCGAAAATGTGAAAATTCTCGGGCGGCCGCAAAGCGTCTTGGGGCGGGCGCATGCGGAGTTCACATTTTCGGCCGGGCCGCGAGGAGAGACACAAGGTAAGTCTATGGACGAGTGCACCCGCATGCAGACACCGTGGGACAGGAAGTGCCAGCAAGGACAGAGGAGGCAGCGCTGGATCGGAGACCCGCCGCAGCGCTGGAGGGACAGATGAAAAGGACAGGAAAGAAGAAGAGCGGATTAAGAAACATAATTTAAGGTAAGTGCTTTAATTAACATTGGGGGAGGGGGAACAAATTTGACTTTAATGTCACTTTAAGTTACTTAAATCTCTAGCAATATGGCCAAACATATAGCCAGAATTAAAAGGTCCGAGCTGAAATAATCTGGTCTACCAAACATCATAAATGTACGTAGATCGTTAATCTTGAAGAGCTACTTTGAGCAAATGTGGTTAGATACAGTCATCTGACTGAATTAACTATATAGCCAAACATCTGATAAATTCCTAGCACACCCACCAATTTGTTTAAAATTGACAAGGTTTATATTTAAATGTACAAAACAAACATTTACAACACACACGTAATACTATCACCTGTAAGACCTGACAGTACAAGAGGGACATGTAGTACAAAATGCAGACAAAGAATCAATGCATTTTGCACAGAACAGCCAAGACTGCGAAAGGAGGGAGACTGTTGCTACGAGATAAGCAATTGTGAATGTATCAGCAGTCTTACAAGGTTACTTTATCCTCAAGTAGGGGATCATAATGAGCTTATTACGTACCGGCTCTACTTCCAGTAACAGGTCTTGGTGGCTATTATTCCAGCTGAGCCAGAGCCAGTAAAAACAGAAATGTGAAAACAGCAAGTCATAAGACCAGAAGACTTACAGTGCAAAACACAGGATGGAAGCAAAACACTATCCTGTATTTCACAAATGCAGCTGTACAAGCCAACTATACAAACTGCAATTTGCAATGATCGCTCAGCATAACTAACACAGACATCATGGCAAAGACTGACTGGAACAGTTCTAATTACAGCAACCCAAGAAACCCACTTTTTGAGTGAAAGAGAACCAGTCACATCTGGGTTCATGAACATTTAGATGATTATAATACAGCAGGCATACTAAGGAAATATTTATTTGTACATGCTTATTTAGAACTACTTTATTTGTCAGAGTATATCTTGGAGCCAGGAGCAAGAGGTGA